GCGCCGACATCAGAGACGCCGAAGAAATAGTAAACCTGCCTAAACTGCTGAAAAGAGCCACGACTGTCCTGTGTACTGAAAAGACGGCCACCCTGTCACTCATCATGCCCAACATGTAGACAGCCATCCATAAAAACCTCTCAGACAGATACACATAAGTTCAGGATTATTTTATAGAACTGCTGATTACCTGGAAATGTAGATTTTTTGTTTTGTTTTGTTTTTTTTGCACACACAAAAAACACAAGTGACCAAGCAAAGCATTAAGCTCTTACTGTTAAATTCAATTGAATTGAATCATTTCAATAATATTTTATAAGAAGTTTTTAAATTGTTTTATTTTCCAGAGACAGTCCTGTTTAATTTATTTTATTAAAGAAGGTTCAGTTTAACAAGTTGAAACAAAAGAAATACATTACAAATAGTTTACTTGTTTAAATAGTTTTTTTTTTATAAAATATATATTTTTTTACTTTGTTAAATAGTTTTTTAAAATAAAATTTGCATTTCAGTTTAATTTTTATTCCAAATATTGTGATACATACCGAATCGTGAACATCATACCGTGATACACATTGTATCGTGAGCTGAGTGTATCGTTACACCCCTAATAAACATCAATGGAAACACTTTTACCGAACAAATTCCAGTATGTGCTTCAAAAAAGTCATGTGATGTTGTTATAAGAGATCATGTGATGATAAAAATGTGTGTGAATGGATAAACCATCAGGCTGAGCACACTGTAAAACATCTGAAATGTTGTTTTAGTCATTCTAAAACGCCGTAACCATCTCAGTATTGGTGTTATTATATTATTAATGACCTCCAGAATCAAGAGCGTCTGTGCTCCGCATGTCACGCCTTTAATCGCCACCGCATGTTCACTGCATGTCTGGATTGTCTCCTGAGACACAAGTCATTTATTAAATGAAGAAAAGATTCGCGCAGCTTCTTCTAGGGCAGCAAATTTAGTTTTTCCGGTTGATATTTGGCACCAGATAATCAGAAAGTGATTTTGTTTGCTTTGACTCGTTGGATAGAAATGCTGCTTTATCTTTTCGCACATCTTTTATGCCATAATCCAGTTTTGCACATAAAGTTTGACAACCATAGGATGCAATTACAAACACTGGAAGAACAGAGGCTGAACTTGAAGCAAAGAACGAACCACACTGAGTTGAGACTGGTTGGACATGATGTGGTGGGGATGTCAAAAGGAATCTAATATTTCACCTTTCTGAAGCAGTGCAGATTCAAAGTAGCCCTCAAATGAGAGAAAGTGTGTTGAGGAACAAGCAGATCTGTACAGAACTCTTCCCCCTAATATCGATCAATCTCCAAAGATTAACCATTAGCTATTTCGACTAGGAGGAGAAACTTCTCTCACTAGGGTGGTCATGATTAGACATGGGACGATAACCATTTTCAAGGTATACCGCGGTTTGGAAACGTTAAGGTTTTAAAACAGTCAAAATTTTCTGTACTACTGTTCTTAAGGTACGTGTACGATTTTTTATATACGTTTTTGTTTTAGTTTTTTAGGACGAAAGTATTTTCAGCAGAAAAATATCCAAAGAATTTTAAAAAAGCAGACAGCAGAATGATTCAATGATTCATTTTCATTATTCAGGCTGACATGTTTACAGTTCCAAAATATTATAAATCTTTCAAAAAATAAAATACATTGTTTTTAAAGGTGAAAAAAAGTTTTAGTTTTTTTACCCAGACTTTTAAAAAGACTATATTTTAGAGCAGTAACCACAATACGATGATACTGTGAAACCGTGAGATTTTTATCCAAGGTTATCACACCATCAGAATCTTGTACTGGCCCATGTCAGTCATGATAAGATTTACACTTTTCCCCATTCACAGCCAGTAAGTGGACCATTTTCATATTTCTATAGTCTTTGCAGTGCAAAGTTTGCACCCCAGCTTTGGGTATCCCATCAGCACGTCCAGCAGATGGACAGACACGACGGGTGTGCGTCCCCGGTACAGCTGTCCCCTGGGGTGCGAGAGAGACAGCTGTCCCGCGTGAACAGAGCCAGCAGTGTTCCTGGAAAAGTGTCGGTCAGCAGAGCGCGGCGTTACGCTCTCGAAACAAACAGTGTGTGAATGAGGCGTGTTGTCATAGGCAGAGACAGGCGGCACAATGGAGAGCTGCTCAACCTCAGTACGGGCCAATGCGGCACACAACAGCCCTTCAGCACACTTTCAGAACTGGAGATATTCAGTCGAGCAACACTCGGAAGCACTTGTTATATTCCAGGAAGAGCACAGGTCTGCTCAGGCTGGGTCAGCGTGAACATAACAGACTGTCAGCAGCATTATGTAAATACAGTCTCCCAACCAGACACGGCTAGGTGGAGACACAAAGCACTCTTTTTTTTATTTATGCCAATATTAGGTAGAGCTGGACGGTTATTCAAAATGAAATCGCAAACATGATTAAGCAAAGCTGCAATTTTGGGAAAAGCACATTGTTGGGATTAGGGATGGGTATCATTAAGGTTTTACGGTATTACTACTTTTATCAATAGCATTTATCAGTTTGGTACTTTAACGGTTCTCTTATGGCTTGTTTCCACTGACTGGTACAGTACAGTACAGTAAGGTTTGGGTCAGTACGGGTCACCTTTATCAGGCTTTGCGTTTCCACTACCAAGGGTACCCTTTTGGCGGGCATGGTGTATGACAGAAAGTTTCAGTCGACGTCATTTTTGCTCAAGAAAATGTCTACAGTAAAGCTGTCCGGGTCGCTAAAATATCATATGAGAAGCACTTCTCACAAAACAGATGTTTTATACACATAAATACTTCTGTATAAATGTTTATTACTAACTTTTCTATTAATAGAATTTGATTTTAACTGCAAATCAATGACAGCGTGAAATAGCATACTGTCTTTTTCATTTCGTTCAATTTGCCAAACTTAAAATGTTACAAATTGCCTCCAAACACATCTACAACTAGCCCAACCGTTGATCATACTACAAGCAAGTTATAACTACAATGCTATAAGAGAAAATAGTCATTCATTGTTTACCTGCCTTTTTTGTCTATGACTGACTCAGCTTACCTCACCGCTTCTGACAAGACAAGTCTTCAAGTTCATGTGACACTGACAGTGTCATGTGATTCATTCATTCTTTTTTTTGCTTAGTCCCTTTATTAATCTGGGGTCGCCACAGCAGAATGAACCGCCAACTTATCCAGCATATGTTTTACACAGCTGATGCCCTTCCAGCTGCAACCCATCACTGGGAAACATCCATACACTCTCATTCACACACATACACTACGGAGTTGATCTTACCCAAATAACCTGTACCGCATGTCTTTTGACTTGTGGGGGAAACCGGAGCACCCGGAGGAAACCCACGCAAACATGGGGAGAACATGCAAGCTCCACACAGAAATGGCAACTAACCCAGCCAAGGCTCGAACCAGCAACCTTCTTGCTGTGAGGCGACAGCACTACCTAAAGTGCCACCACATCGCCATGAACTAATCACTTCCTGAAATTGATTCATTGATTCAAAATGATTCATAATCACATGACTTTGGAATTATTAAACAGAAAGATTTACTTCAAACTCTCAACTGAATTTATGAGTTCGGAGTAAAAACATAATAATATATGTGGTATTTTCAAGTGTTTTGAGATATACTAGCATTTACAGCACAGAGCCATAGTTCATTGAGAAGCTATGTGACACATCCTTCATTATCACGCCCCATTCACACGGGGTGTCAGCTTCAACGCTTCCTATTCACTTTGAATAGGTGACGTCAGGTGTTGCCGAACTGCATTGCGGATCCGTCTGCACCACTTCAGTGCCGTTGCTCGCTGCAGAAGTTAAAACTTTCTCAACTTTTCAAGCGCCGACGGAAGCATCAGCCAATCAGATCGCTGTATGCAAATACACCAGCTCAGACAGTGGCCGATTGCTGACTAATTTCACTGGCTGATGCTGCTAAAATTGCGTTAGTCCCAACTTTAGACACACCCTATATCAAGCATTGACGCTGAAGCCCCGTTTGAATGGGGAGATTTGTTTCTCCTTTGGGAAATGACTTACACATTTATTAAGGCCACGTGAAGCAATTTATTCAGTGTATAAAACTTAACGATTCATTTTTATTGTCTTACTGTTCATTTTGTTATTAAACATTTGAAAAGTTTAAAATCTGTTTTTGCCTTAAATTAATTCATGTTAGTACTCTTAGAATTTATTGCAATCTTTATCTCGATGGACATTGAATTTACTTAACTAATAACACAAAACATACAAAAGCAGCAAACACATTAATCTATGTATAAAGCATGAAGGTGTAGGTTTTATAGGTGGTTGTTAAATGCAGAGCTTCTCTATATAAAAGCTAAAAAAAAACACATGTGCAAGTTCTGAAAGAGATCAAACCTCAGCCAGGTAAGGAAAAGTAACGCAAAAACACTCAAAAGTAATATAACACATTACTTTCCATAAAAAGTAATTAAGTAAGGCAATTATTAGGTTACTAAATTATTAAGCAGTTACTTTTTTGAGGAGTAACTCAATATTGTAATGCACTACTTTCAAAACTTTTCACTGTTTGTATTATTAAATACATATAAAGCAGCTAAACAACACCAACAACCATAATAACTATGAACAAATTCAGATTTATTGAGATAACCAACAGAAAAGCAGTCACATTCTCTAGGACTATACAACCAAGTGTAAAATCCTGATTGATTCAGCACTGTAAAAACCCAGAGAGACACCGAACATCTCTGAAAATCAAAACCAAACACACCACCACCACCTCTTCCAAACTTTTCAGCACGATCATCATATCATGTATCAAAAATGTCACCTTTAGATAAAGCGGAGCACATTCCTAGTGTCAGATGAATGTGCAGATGTGCTGCAGAGATTTCCTGACTGTAATCTAATCAGACGACAGACAGCCACATCATGAGAGGCGCTGAGATGATGAATGATCACTTACCCAGACCCGAGGCGTAAATAGCCTTAACTGACTTCTTCATCTTGTAAAGGACACTGCGGTCCACATCCAGGGCCTAAACACACACACAGAGAGAAAAAGAAGGAGAGATATATACATATGAGATACAAATGCAGATATTCAGAAATTCATTATATAATGATAATAAATGTGCACAATATTAATATCATGGTTACTTCAAAATACAGCTAATAATTAACTCCAGACTCAAACTAAAAGTGCTCCAGGGGTAATTAATGTGTCAGTGCTCTTTGGATAAGAGATTCATGAAGATAAACAACAGAAGTCTAAGGCACTTTAAAAGTTTTAGTTATTCACTGTTAACAAAAATAATAATAATAATCAAAGTCTAAGGCACTTAAAGGAAAAAAAGTTAATAAATAGGCAATAATGAATCTAAGGTGATGTCAATGTCTTAGTAAATGCCCATTAATGAAAAAAAGGCATAATTCATTAAATGTAATTAATAAAGTAATCACTGATTTGATTTTAACGAATTAACTAACGTTTACTATAAGGAGAACTACAATACATACTAAACAAACATTAAAGCAATACACCAAGTATTTTTTGGTTATTTTACTCAGTAAAGTACATTTAATTTGAAGCTTCGGTCAATATTGTTACAATATGGTCACAGTGTATCGCTTCAACAATTAATCGCAACAAGAAAATTGATACCGGCAGAAACCTAAGAGAGATACAACATGATTCTCAAAGTGTTTAGAGAAGTAGTGACACTAATTAATAATAAAGGGTCCTTGATTATGGTTTCACTGTTAAATTTAGTGTATAATGTTTCTGTTTGAGCACAAACAACATCTGCAAAATTGTCAAACTCAAAGTTTTAAGCTAAGAGAGAGGTTTTCTGTGCAGGTCTATGACAAATTACTGGTAGGGACTACAAGGGTGGGGAACGTTGATCTTGGAGGGCCGGTGTTCCTGCAGAGTTTACCTACAACCCTAATCAAATACACTTGAACAAGCTAATCGAAATCTTCAAGATTCAGGTAGGTATAATTTTTCAGGGTTAGAGCCCACCAGAAACAACGTTCCCTACCCTTGGATTACAATGACCTTATATCCGGCTTTGTGACATCATCAACTCTGAATTTACATAAACTTCACCCCTGAGTGTGACATTTCCTTCAAAATCCACTGGGCAGTGAGCCAATAATAAGACACTGGGGCATCTGACAAATCAGAGCCAATTGTGCATTTCTGACAGAGGGGCTTTACACAACCAGAGAGTCAACAGACCATTTTTAGAAGAACAAAGACAATGGAGTAGAATAAAAATAGAATGTGTGAAAAATATTGAGTTTTTTTAGCCATAAATGAAGCTTATACAGTTTGTATACATTACATAGCACCCCTTAAACACAAACAACCCTTTAAAAATATTAGATTAAACACCCCTTTAAAAAGTAGTGTACCACATACATTTATCAAAGAACCTTAATTACCTTTCTGTCACACTTGAATAAATAAATCTCTCTCTCTCTCTATCACACACCTCAACTAAAAGTGCACATTGTGTGCGTGTATGGAGGAGGCAGACCCTGCTGGCTTTAGTCTGCAGGTGATTCATTATTCAAAAGCAAACTCCTAAAAATACTCTTAAACAATCTCAGCACGGCAGGAACCGCGGAAGTCGGGAGGCAGATTCACACAGCTGGACTAGTTCACATCCACGAAAGAGAAACTCCCCAGGAGCAACGCAGGATGCAACACAAACACACACATACATCTGTATAGCTATGTTATTGGCAAGCAAAGATTTCTGTTGTTTTTAATTCTGACCCAATAATATTTTTTCTACCCCTAGACATAAGTCTTACAGAACTTACCTTTGCATTTTTATATTTTTCAGATAAACATCATAATTAAGTATTTTTTTATTTAAATCTGGCAAACATATTGCAATCAGTAAATCTTCACAAAAAATTTACAAACAAATAAAAATAAACCGAACAAAAAATATTAACAAAAATGTTTTTTTATGGCCACATAAGATGTATTAAATGTGTTTTGTTTTGTTTTTTTGTGAACGGCAATATGTGAACGGCAGCTTCTAAAAGTCCTAGGCTGTAGCCTGTTTTTGACTCTGGATGTTTTTGTCCAAATATCCACAGGACATCAAAGAACACTATAGTGGATCTTGTGTAAGCATATATGCATATTTATACAACAGTTCAGTCTGATTCTTGAATCTGATTGGCTTATAGCCATGCGATATTCTGCCAGTAACAGCCTTTTCACCTTTCACCTTTGTGTATTACTCCTCCCACATACAGCAACAAGTAGAGGACACTCAACAGTTTGACAAATATTGCTGCTGTTGGACGACATAATGTACTTTTGAGGCTTTTTTAGTCGAGAATGTAGTTGTTTAGATTGCAACTATGCAGTTCAATTATAAGGATAGTGCCTATTTTAAAATATTTATAATTTCCGAGAGACATACATCTGTCATACTGAGTGGAACAAAGACGGTTAACGTTGTCTATCCACAAGATGGGGACAGAACCGCATAATGAGCCCTTGGAAAATGAAAACAGTGTAATTTTTAACTACAGCTCATCAAATCATTATTATTATATTGGTAAGTGATATTCAAAGCCGATCTCTCTCTTTTGTATGTTGTAGTGCTGTATTTATACCATATAGTTGTAGTGCATTGAGTGTGGAATGGGACTCACAAACACAATAGCAATCTGGTAGTGATTGCGCTTCTCTTTTCGCGGTTAATTATTATGATATCCCGATTGCAACAGAGAAATACTGTAAACTCTAAAGACTGTAATACTGTAAGGAGATATCTCTGTAGACTGATGGCATTTCATGTCACGTTCAGTCTTATAATCTTAAAATGTCAGCAGAATCACCTGTTTTGTCATCACTTTAGACAATGCGCTAGAGAATCATTCAAATAGCAGCTCAAAAGAGACTATGGTGAATTAATAACGGGTTCTGCTGTTCTGAGGTCAGCTGTAGATGTGAATGAATGGTGGAAGAAAGTAGTTCCTCGTACAAAAGGGTTTTTAGACTCTCTGTATTTGATTTTCTTTTTTATTATACATGATTGTGCTGTCGAACTGTTGTATAAATACAATATCACACTCGTAGCAGGGTGATATTGCTGTATATCATCACTGGTGGGACATTAACAATGCACGCCTCCCACCAGTGCTGATATATAGCCATATCGCACTACTACTAGTGTGATATTGCTCATATATATGTTCGCATGCTTTCTTTAGTGCTAAATTCTAACCAATGCCAACCTCTTTTTACTTCCAAGTTATGATTGTGAGAGTGTGCATGAGCTGCCGCTGCTGGCATTTCAGTTAATGGCCAATTAAAAAGGGAAACAGCAAATCAACAGAACAGTTCCTCTCAATATCCAGCCAAGCTCAGATGTGGTCAATCATTTACGCTTCCTCTTTCCTTAAATCTATGCTGCTTATAAACCCTCAAACCTCCAGACAAAACTAGCAAAACACTAGCTGAGACATGATAGGTTGTCCGGCCCCATTCATGGGCCCCAAAATTGGAAAAATGTTAATCCTGCTTTTATTAAAAACACTATATAATATTTACTTTCCAAACACACAATATGGAAGCAGTGAAAATGCGGATCTGATGGCTGGATGTGTTTTATTTAGTCGAGTGTCACGAATAAGAGCCATACTGTAGGTAGACTGAACTGGACCGTGAACCACTAAGAAAGCAAACTGACTGGGAAAACTGTAGAGTTATTAATAAACCTCTTTTAAAAATAAAAATAGACAGAATTTCACATTAATACCACATTGTTTCATGAATCGCTCTCTGCTTTAGTACCCACAGGAAAGCCTTTCTAATCTCTTTATCCTTCCATAATCTTTTTCCTAGTATCTTTGAGAAAAATTAGCCTTCCACACAATCTTTTTTAATAAGAATTAAAAATACTACTAATAAAAAAAAATATTAATAATACTACTGTACTTATTATTTAAGCAGTGGATGAAATGTGACCCAAAATTGATTGTCAAATATGGAGGCAGTTTCACTCCAGACTTTAGATCTTAGCATCCAACAGAGTAAGAAAAAATATATATATATATTCATTCAGCTTTCACTTCATAGTGTGGCTTTGTTTGAAACAGAGATCTACTATGCAACTGCTTTTCACTGAAAAGACATGAGAATTGCTGGAGTAACACATATTTATAACACCATTCATGAAGGAATGACTTTATTAATTACTAATCCCAGTGACTAGTTAAGCATCAACCAGCTGTCTTTTAATGAAACACATTGCATGATTGCTCTTCTGCATTATAGAGTTTGATGTTAGAATGTTGCTAAGCTCAAATAGCTTCACTGTGATTTTAATTATCTAAGTTTGCTTAGAAACATGTTGCCTTAAATTCAGTTAAGTAATCTTAATGGGTTAGTTCACCAAATGTACAATTTACTAATCGTTTACTTATGTTTTTGAGTTCTGTTTGGGTTTCTTTCTTCCTTCAAAACAAGATATTTTGAAGAATGCTGAAAACCTGTAACCGTTAACTTCCATAGTAGGAAAAACAAATACTATAGAAGTCAATGGTTACAGGTTTTCGACTTTCTTCAAAGTATCAGTTTTTATTTTCAGCAGCTTCAAAAAACTTAAAACACTTCTGAACAAGTGAAAAGTGAGTAAATTTAAACAGAAATATGTTTTGGGTGAACTATCCATTTAACAATAAAGGGATAGTTCACACAAAAAATAAATATTTACATTATGTTTGTTACAATACTGAAATTTCTAACTTTGATACGTTACCTTAAATAATATTGTTATTCAACACAAATTTCGATAGTATCGTTTCAAATGTTCCAGTATCGATACTTATTGAATAACGATATGTTAGTCAACACTAACAACCATAAAGTGGTTCCAAACCTTTTGGGTTTCTTACTTCTGTTGATCACAAAGCAAGATATTTTGAAGAAACCTGAAAACGTGTGACAACTGACTTCCATAGCAAGAAAAACAAATACTATGGAAGTCATTGGTTACAGGTT